GTGGGTCAAAGGACAAAATAATGAAGTCAAAATCAAATTTTCCAAATTAATGAAATTTTATGAAAGTCTAACATGGACATGAAAAATTACTGTACATCATTTTTTTTTCCCCAAAATACCCTTCTATAGTCGTTATGAAATTATGCTAGTACCCTCTCATATCTAGAGAGAGAGAAACCCATCTATGTCAATACTCTCAAACTTTCCTCCTCGAATAGCTCCTCTTTCTTTAAACTCCCGAAACAAATTGTTAAAATCACCGGAAAACAACGCGATGGAGCCATGATGGCCGACAGCACTGCCGGAAGCCATGCCCAAGCCCTCGCCGACGTCACCAAGTCCAACCAAACCCTAGAAATTAAGAGCTTTTTTTTTTTTTTTTTAGGTAGATATTTGCTACTTTGATACTGTAAACCTTCAACAAAAACGGAGAGGCCTAATTCTCATTTATGAATATTCCAATTTTTATGGTGTGACTTGGATTTCACAGACCCACTTGAAGATTTCTTGTGGATCCTCAAGCATTTGCATCAACATTTTGTATTGTCGAGCTGTGGATCAACCATTACAGAGAATTGTGTTGGTTTTTTCATGATGTTTTATGTTGAATTTTTGAATCTCAACTTAGATCTTGATTTTTCTTTTGTCTAATATGGATTTTGGGTTTAAATATGGTTTGGAGGAAAAGATGTTTTGGAGGGAACGTGTGAGGGAGAACAAAGATTTGCTCTTTTTTTTTTTTTTATTTATTTTATAAATGGGTTTGCTAGTAAGGTGGGTGAAAAAAAAAGATGACAGATAGGATTGTTGGTTGTTCGTTTGGGAAGAAGGGTTGCCATAGATGGGTTTCTCTCTCTAAATATGAGAGAAGGGTGTTTTGGGAATAAAAAGATGATGTACAATAAATTTTCATGTCCACGTCAAACTTTTATAAAATTTCATTAATTTGGAAAACTTAATTTTGACTCCATTCTTTTGTCCTTTGACCACCAAAACTCCATTTTATGGAATTATCCATTTTTTTTTTTTTTTTTTTTTTTTTTTTTTTTTTGGCTACCATGGCTTAGTTGTTAAATGAGTTAATTTGTAATGGGTTTTTGAAGTGGATATGAGGTAAATTTTTAAATCTCTCTAAATTTTCAATTTGTAAATATTATATTTTGAATATTAATTTTCTTATCTTGGATTTTATTATTTATTTTGTGTGTATATACACTATAAATACATTATTTATTTTGTGTGTATATTAAACAATTAGCAATACACCCTTAAACTACAAAAATTACATAAACTTACCTAAACTTTTTATTTTTGTTGCACATCACTCAATCCAACACTGTACTAGTAAGATTCAACCTACCATGTGACACATAATTTAAAATTAAAGACTATAATCATGGTTATCAAAATCGCGATTCTGAGTCATAGAATCTTAAAAATTTCTGTTAAGTTGAAAAGGAAGATGTTCGATGCAAACTAAATCAATATTTCTTTTGCCTATGAAACTGTCTTTATAAATTTTGAATCTATTCTACGATTCAAAATCCAAAATCGATTCAAATCGTAACAAAATCGTTCAATTGGTAGAATCGGGGATAAAATCGGTTGAATCGGGGGTAGAATCGTAGAATCGTACGATTTTACACAATTCGATCGATTCTACAAATTTCATAATACATTGTGAAAGATTGTTATTCAATCATGAATCCTAAAGGTTTTATCACTCCGACTATACTATAGGTGAAGAGAAGAGGGGAATTCACTGGACAGTCACAGAAATCAGATTAAAATCACATAAATAGGCAAAACATGGTACCTTCGTCCTTGCTAGCTGGTAGAACTGGTCGCTGGTCTTCGTCGCTGATCGTCAGTCGCTGGTCTTCGTCGGTCGCTGCTTCATCGGTCGTTGCTCGCAGGTCGCTGATCTCTCCCCTCTGGTCGCTAATCCCCTTTTCTTCGTCGGTGCTCCCCTCTTCTTCATCGCTCCTCTTCTTTCACATTCTTTGGAAGCAAAGATAGATACTGATACCTTTAAAAAAAAAGAAGATAGATACTAACGGCCAGAGATAAGGCTACTGGCTTATGTGTGCCATCAGGATTATTCAGAATAAAAAAATTATATACAATATATAATTAAAATAAAAAATATATACGTTGGCCGTCAAGATACAATATATACGTGGGCCGTCAAGATACAATAAAAAAAATAAAAAGTTATATATATATATATATATATATATATAATTAATTTAGTTTTCAAAATATTATAAATCTAAATATAATTAATAATATAATATAGGAGTTAATTTAATGCAAAAAAATATCTCTTAAATGTCAAATTTTATTCCTTGATAAGTTATGTTGAGGTTAGATATATTTAATTGTATGTTTTGGTCTTATTTTTGTTATATTTTATAAATTTTATTGTTTAAAAAGTTATTTTCAATTGTTTTTTCACAATTTGGTAGAATCTTGCGATTCACGATTCGATTCTGCGATTCACGATTCGATTCTACGATTCTACAGAGACCAAAACGATTCTGCATAGAATCCCAATTTTAACAACCTTGACCATAATATCCTTAATAGCATGAAATTAAAGAAATGCCCCTTTTGTGACTAGACCCAAACACCTAAACACATTGTAAGATACACCCAAACACTACCAGAAAATGACCATGGGTTTGGTTGTGCCTTATTTGGATGGATACATACATATCTGAACATATATATATATACATATGTGTATATCTATTCTATCTTTTTGTGGGTCGTTGTCGTAGGTAATGGTGGTGGCAGTGGGTTCCATTGGGTTCGACGTGCGTGTGGTTCAGCAATTGAGGGGCGGTGATGGTGTTGGTGGTGGAACTGGGGAGGTGGTGGCGATTGACGCAATGGTGGTGGTGCCGATCACTCCAGGAAGATTGCAAAAAAATAAAAAATAAAAAAATAAAAATAAAAATTAGGTATTGTGAAATTCCCCTAAGTACCCAAAACTATGCCATTTATGTTAAGGGTAAAGGTGTCTTTTGCGTTTTCCTGTCATCAGCAGGTGAATCATTGTCCTTAACTGCAACAAATTGATAGTTCAAGAGAATATTTTGTAATTCAGATTTTTTTTTTTTTTTTGTAAAAAGACAATAATTCAAGAATTTTTTTTGCAACCATGAAATGGAAAACAAACCCAAATAAGCAAAACAAGATAGAACCCCAACCCAATTGAAACATAAGGGGCAAGCCCAACCCAATGTGTCAAAACAGAGAACCACAAGGTACAACCCCAACCCAATTGGACACACATATCAGTATTCTTCATGTATATATATATTCTTCATATTAATGCCTCTGCATTTGTAATATGTACATGTAAATATGTAATATATATATATATATAAAATACCCATTATATATGACTACTGGGGGGGGGGGGGGGGGTTTAAAAAGAATGAAAATGAAGAGAGAGAGAGAGAGAGACCTTTCGGAAGAGTGTTTTGATGAGAAAAAAAAGATTTAAGGGTTTTTTTAGAGTTTTTATATATATAAGAAATAAAGAAAAAAAAAAAAAAAAGAGAGAGACAAAATTGATGGTCCTGGGGTCAATTTCTTCCAAATTTTAAAAATACAAGAATTTATTTACACTTATTAATTAATCGGAATATTTCTTGATGTATATAATGCTGAGATTTTTTGTCTTTTTGAATAAATAATTTTTTTTTTTGGCACATCATACTTTTGGACTTGTGTGCAGACAGATCAAATAGGCGCACATGTCAAGAGAACGTGTAACAGTAGCCTAAGTAATTGAATCGTGTAACAGCAGCCTAAGTAATTGAATAAGTCAAGAAGATAGTCTATTTTTTTTACATAAATTTATTATTATTATTATTATTATTATTGACAAGAAATTCACGTTCATAAATCGATACTATACTACCATTTAGTACAAAGAATTTTTCATCAATTTTTTTTTTATTTTTTATCTATTTTTTATTTTATAATATTATTTATTTCGATAATATATAGAACATAAATTTTCCTTTAACTCTTAAAAAACCCAAATTATTTTCTAATTCTATTTACTCTCTAAAACCATAACCCATCCTCAACTCTTAAAAAAAAAAAAAAAAAAAAAAAAAAAAATCTTTTTTAATTCTATTTATTTTCCCAAAAACCCAACATTTCCTTAACTTTTAAATAACAAGTATTCTTTTATAATCCTATTTCTTCACTCTAACTTCATTCCTCACACACTGTAAAATTGAGAAGAAAAAATATATATATATATCTATACTACTTTAAAAAGTGTAAGAATTTTCGATTATTTATATACATTTTAATTTTTTTTTAAATAAGAAAAGTGTATTAAAGTTTTTTCAGTAAAATTTATTAAAAGTTTTTCTTTTTACACCGGGTTAATTATACTTTTTGATTCTTCAAGTTCTTTAACATTTTTTTTTTCATTAAAAGTGTACTAAAAAAAGTTTTACACTAAATTAATTACATTTTTTTTTTATTCTTTAGATTATTCTACATGTGTATTCAAAGTGTTTATTTTATTTATTTATTTATTTTTTTCACACGTTAAATTATATCTTTGATTACTCAGATTTTTTTTAAAAAATTTGTATATACATTCAAATTAAACCAACTTAACCGTTACAGGGGTTGAGGGTAACGCAATACCCTTATGTAACCTTATATTACGAAATTAACCTTTTCAAGGGTGACCTTACGTGCCCTCTATTGAAGATAACTTTTCCTTTCACTGTCGTCTTTCATTCTCAGAGAATTAAAAGTGAGGGTAATAATACATACATACATACATACATATATATATATATATATTGCTAGCGAGGATAATGTTTCATTGGTAAATTTTTAAGAATAAGATAATAATATTCCATTTTGGCGGGCTATTTACGCAGTCACGTCATTTTCAATAATTTTGTTTCGAAACTCTAGCATTATCGTTATAAATTTAGAGGACTGAAGTAGTGTTGCACCAAGTAACAAAAGCTCATCTAACTTTTTCATTAACTAACTTCGGCGAAGGTTTTACACACACACACACACACACACACACACACACACACACATGGGTGAAACTCCGGTCCGTTTTGGAATATTGGGGTGTGCTAATATAGCGCGGAAGGTATCAAGAGCCATTAGGCTCGCTCCCAACGCCACCATCTGCGCCATCGGTAGCCGTTCGATCGAAAAGGCGACCATATATGCGTCTGAGAATGGCTTCCCGGCGACGGCTAAAGTGTATGGCAGCTACGAAGCGGTGATCGATGACCCGGACGTGGAAGCCGTGTACGTGCCTCTCCCGACGACCCTGCACCTGCGCTATGCGGTCTTGGCCGCCCAGAAGAAAAAGCACGTGCTGTTGGAGAAGCCGGTGGCTCTCAACGTGTCGGAGCTGGACACCATCTTGGAGGCGTGTGAAGCCAATGGTGTGCAGTTCATGGACGCCACCATGTGGATGCACCATCCACGGACGGCTAAGATGACTGAGTTTCTCTCCGACCCACACCGTTTCGGCAAACTCAAATCGGTATGTCCTCGCAAGTTTATTTTAAGTTTCGTGGCACAGACATCTCCGAATACGACCATTTGATGTACCGTCATTGGAATGCCTTGCTTTGTTATTGAAATGACTTGCTTTGTTTTTTTAGAGAGGACGTATAGCTCATCACGTCACATCTAAGTTGTCCGACTCTGAAGTCATTTTTATATGGTATTTTTCACGTTACAAATATTATTAATTTATTTTTATAATAGTGATACTCATACTTAATATTTATTATAAATTGTGTAATTCAATAATTTTTAATTAATTATTTATATTAAATACAACTAAATGGAGAACTCCATTTTTTTATTTATTGTATAATTGACTAATTAAAAGATTAGGTCTAACCATTTACTGCAAGTATTTTGTACAAGAATTATTTTTCTTATTTTTATAATTAATTGACATTTTTATATCCTTACTTAAAACCGATTGACATAAAAAGATAATATAGTTATTCTAAAATTTCAATCTTAATTGGAAATCATTACTATTATTTATTTTCATAAAATACATTTCTTTCCCTTTCTTTATTGTTTCAGTTTGCCATTGCATCATTCCTATCTTCTTCTTTGTTTTCATGGTACTAAAATATAAGAATTTTATTTATACAAAATTACAATTTTTCTATTTTTTCTTATTTAAACTCCTCTCCTTGTTTTTGTTTATAGGAGTTAGATAAATCATTCGCATAATAATCTTATATATATATATATATATATATATATATATATATATATATATATATATATTAAAGTTTCATGGTGATTCAAACTTTAATTGCCAGTAAAGAATATTAAGATGAAATCATAGGGCGTTGATAGAATTTTTTACTTTTATTTGTAAAAAAAAATAGAAAGATAGGCAATTTTTCAAATAATTAGTTACTTTATATTTTAAAATAGGAACTATTATATTTGACACATAAACTCGGTAAAATAGTAGGTTTATAGAGATGATGTCAACATACCAGTTTCTGACGGGAGTGCTTTTTGAAACCTTTTATTAAAAATCTTTTATTAAATTTGATTTGTAGTGCCCCACATCAGGTTCGGGGTGGATTTGGAGCTCCTCCATGTACATTTTTTTGAAAAAAATAATTCAAATTTGAATAAATTTAAAATAAATTTTGTTATTTTTTAGTATATTCAAATATTTAACAATTATAATAACAAAAAAAATATTGTTAAAATTTAAAATTATCATAAGAAATAAAAATGTATATATATATATATATATATATATATATAATAAAATAATATTTATTTATATAATAATTATTAATCAAGCAGAGTTTTAGGCTTTGCTCGGTTTAGTGTTTTCTCAAACCAGTTTCTAGCCCGATTAAAGACAGGGCATGTTAAATTGATAGTCGTATATGTACTCGTAATTCGTAAACTTATAGCGGACAAAAATAATTATAGGTGTTGATAACGAAGAAGAACTGAAAATAGTGACTAGGTTCTATCGTTCGGAAATATGTTTTTAAAAAATTTAAAACAAAAAAAGGAGAAAAAGAAAAAGACAGGACGAATATTATACTATTGAAATCCTGAATCAAAATAAAGCTTTTTTCTTTTTTTTTTTCTAATCAATTTAGATCGAATTGAACTATCACATTTGATTAGTTCATATACTTTTATTTTAATATATTTTGACATTATTTTACATGAGAACTATTTATTTTAAGAATTTTGACATTATACATATATTTTCACACTAAAAGCATACTCCCTTGATAACTCAAAATTTGTTCATGTTTTCATTTTTTTACCGTTCCAAAATAATTGTCTTAATTCAAATTTTAATGTACTATTTTTTTGATATTCCTAATTTATCATTTTTACTTTTAAATTATAAAAATAATTAAAGTATGTGAACCCATTTCAAAATTTATTGGCTATCATTATAATATAAAAATATATATTACTCCCTCTCTTTCAAAATAAATGTTTTTTTTGAAAATCTAAATTTGTAAGAAGATAGTTTTAGTATTTTCTTTATTGTATTGATAGTGAATAAATTATCAATCCATCCATAGTATCTACAATTACGTGATTTACTATACTTTTAAGTTATAAAAAATAATACTTTGACTTTTCAAATAAGACACCAAAAATGAAAATATGAATACTTATTTTGGAGCCGATTGAGTAAAAATTACACACCTAAAAAGTTAGGTTTGTGACAATTTTATTTATATATTTATTTTTAACACAAGAAGTATTAATTTGAAGAAGAAATAAACTTCGCAAATACATATACACAAATTTAGAGATGCAACTAATTTAGCCATGGTCATGGACTCACAGTGGACAAAAGTTATACCACTAAAGAAGTATAGATAGACCATCTAATTAAGAACTTATGAAAATTGTGATTTCTATGGTTTGAAATTTTGTTTATTTTTTGGGCTTCTTTTATTTTTATTTTTATTTTTATTCTCAATTAGTTTTTCAATTGTGTAGAATTTTATGGAGTTTATATTTAGTTGTGGATTTTTGGACATTAATTTTTCCGGTGTTAATTGGGTCTTAAATTCAGAAATAATCTTCTCAAAACTTTGCAGCTTCAATTTGAAACTCACCACCAAAGTTCTAGCTTGGTGTTACCTCATCTCTTTTATTAAATAGACATAAGGTTTAAATCTCTCCAAAATTGAAACTCACTTTTGACTGGGATCTAAAAACGAGGTGAGAGGGCAAGTTTCAATAGAACGGCAGTCCCAGCTTTTGGTAATTAAAGATTTCAAATATTTTCAGGTAAATGGAATACAAAGAAGAGTAGTGTGGAATTCTTTTATGACAAGAGTCACGAGATTTTTACTTATTAATTATCATACCAAGATTTTTTTAAATCTATGGAAAATTATTTGAATCATTCAATAATTTTTTAACTACTCAACCAAAACAGTTTTTGAGATCTATAAAAAAAATTAAATGGATCTTTAAATAAATATCTCAACTCAATGATTAATAAAAAGTTTTTGATTGCACTACTCATAATCATAAATGATTTTTATTACCTTATAATCTTATAAATAAAAATAAAATAGTAAATGTCTTTTGAATTTTCTGTGACTGACCACTGACGATGGCTGCTTGTTTGATGTGCTGAATCTAATTATTTGTTAAATATAATATATTTTATTATGAAAAGGAATATTTTCAAAGACTTCATAGCTAGGCTGAAGTTTCAACCCAAGTACAATTATTGATGGGGTCAAAGAACAAAAGAATGTTTTGCTCCAATGACCATTTTTTTTTTTTTTTTATTAATCTTTAATTTTCGTTTGCAAGAGTCAGTAATGGACCCAAAATTTTTGGTGAGGGGTGCAATTGAAGTTTTTTCATAATTTTAGTGTGATATTTTTAAAATTTTACAAAACTTATTAATACACGATTCAAATAAAAATAATAAAAAATAAACAAAAAATTTAGTAGGGACAGCCATCCCCATTGGACACCACTTAGGTTTGTGCCTTGTAAGACTAATCATAAAATAATGGGTGATTTATACTCACACATTCCCTGTGATTTCACCTTTGCACCTTGGTCAAAATCGTAGTCATAAAGTCGATCTACCTCTTATGTTGGCCCAATTATAAGTGTACACGTCACGAATTCACATTTTCTCTGCACTGTTTTTCTTCCTGTTCATGGCCCGTGGAGGGTGAAAGGAAAAAGAACAGTGAAGAGAGCGCGTTATGTTTTTTGGAGCAATGGATGTATGTGTTTATTTATTTTGATAGATTTGTGCATTTGTAATTGAACCACAGACTATTTTGTCCTACTCCTACAGGTTACTAGCTCGGCTGCTCATAATCCGGGTCCTAACTTTCTTAAGAATAACATTCGTGTGAAATCGGATTTGGATGCTCTTGGAGCACTTGGTGATTCTGGATGGTACTGCATCAGGGCAATCCTTTGGTCCGTCGGCTATGAACTCCCAAAATCTGCAACAGCTCTGCGTGACCCCGAATATAACGAAGCAGGAGTGGTTCTCTCATGTGGCTCTTCTTTGAGTTGGGCAGACGGGAAAGTTGCCACCTTCTATTGTTCTTTCCTAACAAATTTGACAATGGATATAAATGCACTTGGAACCGACGGAAATCTGCGTGTTCATGACTTTGTTATTCCTTTTCAAGAGGACGTCGCGCCCTTTTATGCAGCTTCAAATTCTAGGTTTCAGAAACTCGCTATTGGGTGTGAACCAAAACCGAGCGAGCACTGTGTTACCACAGATCTTCCTCAGGAAGCTCTAATGGTGAAGGAATTTGCTAGTCTGGTTGGAAGTATCAAGCGAAATGGTTCGAAACCTGAGAAGAAGTGGCCAACCCTCAGTAGGAAGACACAACTGGTTTTGGATGCTGTCAAGGCATCGATTGAGCGTGGTTTCGAGCCTGTCGAGGTTGGGAATTAGTTGAGCACCGTGTTCTTCCCCTGTTAAATCCTTGTTATTGGCTTTTGGGGTGAACAACACACATAAAATAAAATTCACCCCACGTCAAAGTTTATGCCTCAAGATCCACAGAGCACAACTCATAAATATATATTAATTCCGTTTAATCGCATAAAAATTTATTTTAAAAATTAATATATATTTAATAGATAAATATATTTTATCCAAGTCAATTGATCTAGATTTTTGTGATCAAACTAATCAAGTCGAAATAAATGTATTTACATAGATCGATACCATCTTGCGAATATATGTTCCAATGACAATAATTAATGATTACCTAAAATACGTAGGTATTAATTCCGTTTAATCGCATAAAAATTTATTTTAAAAATTAATATATATTTAATAGATAAATATATTTTATCCAAGTCAATTGATCTAGATTTTTGTGATCAAACTAATCAAGTCGAAATAAATGTATTTACATAGATCGATACCATCTTGCGAATATATGTTCCAATGACAATAATTAATGATTACCTAAAATACGTAGGTATTAATTCCGTTTAATCGCATAAAAATTTATTTTAAAAATTAATATATATTTAATAGATAAATATATTTTATCCAAGTCAATTGATCTAGATTTTTGTGATCAAACTAATCAAGTCGAAATAAATGTATTTACATAGATCGATACCATCTTGCGAATATATGTTCCAATGACAATAATTAATGATTACCTAAAATACGTAGGTATTAGCCACTAATCAAGACTAGCGTTCATTACTCTCTCATATTTAAGAACAATTTTTTATAACACTAATAAGTGAAAAACTGATATGATGTAAATTTTTCGCTCATCCTCTATCCAGTTCAATGTGCCAAACACATCAACATGCAAGGTTTTAAGAATTCCAATCAAATGATTGATACAAGTCATTTTATATCATAGAAGCCTCGCTACATATATCCAATTCAATGTGCCAAACACGTCAACATGCAAGGTTTTAAGACTTCCAATCAAATGATTGAGACAAGTCCCTCATTCTATATCATAGAAACCTAGCTACATCCAATGCAATGTTGTTTTAAGACTTCCAATCAAATGATTGACACAAGTCCCTCATTTTATATCATAGAAACCTAAGTACATCCAATGCAAGGTTTTAAGATTTCCAATCAAATGATTGACACTAGTCCCTCTTTGATACAAGTCATTTTATATCATACAAACTTAGCTACATCCAATTCAATGTGCCAGACACATCAACATGCAAGGTTTTAAGACTTCCAATCAAATGATTGATACAAGTCATTTTATATAATAGAAACCTAGGTACACGTTACATTCTTTCAAATAGCTCATTCTTTAACTTTAGCAAGGTTTTAAAATCAATACAAAAAACTCATTTGAGATCGTGTTGTTAAAAATTACTTCATAATTTTTTTTATTTAAATGTATTATTACTTCATAATTATAAAAAGATGTACTATTAGATGCGTCTATAATAAAATTAAAATACATTGGAACAATTTTCAAAATTTTATAAAAATTTATATATTTAAAAAAAAAATTAAAAGGAAAAAAAACCTAGAATGAAAATCATTTTTTAAAAAGCCTAAATTTATTACCAAAATTTTCTAAAATTTCTATGAAGGGACATTTTTGTCATTGAACATTGTGTAATCTTCAAAATTTTCTTATTTTTTAATTTTTAAAGAAAACCAAAAATAAAAAGGATAAATTGCAATGATCTTCCCTGAAATTGGATGCAATTACAAATAAACCAAAGATTTGTTATGTTTTTTTTTTGGTAAAAACACCCCTATGTCAGATTTTAAGGTGAATTTATACTCATTATTATATTATTAAAAAAAAAACCTAAAATATCTTACTATGTTAAATTACAAATTTACCCATATGAATGTTTTTTTTTTTTTTCCTCTTATTTTCTCTTCTCTCCTCTCCCCTCCACCAAACACCCACGCCACAGCCCTGCAGAACTCCATCACATTGAAAGCACACGGCAGTTCGCCCCAAAATTCGTCGGGTCGCGCTTCGACCACCGCCTCACTCACCGCCGTGTGCTTATACAGAACTGATTCCACCTTCACGCTGCTCAAATTCTCGCCGTCGTTGATGATCACAGCCTTCAATTGGTCTTTGATTCAGTTTAGGACGATGTCGGAATTTCCTTCGATCAGCCTTTGATGGGTTGTTGTGATTGATACCAGAGATAGCCATGGACGGCGAGCACGAAGCTTTCGGTTTGACTTGGGGTTCCTATTGGTTCAATTGGGTTCGTCAAGGTCCGATTGGGTGGTGATGATGGTGGTTGAAGTGGTGATGGTGATATATATATATACATGCATATATATGGGTTTCTGATATATATATATATATATATATATAGTACGTTGTGAATTGAATTCGATTATCCGATTGGGTGGCGGTAATGGTGGTGGAAGTGGTGGCGGCGGCAATAAAAGATTCATCAAGTTTGAGCCTTTCTTGCTTCCTAATTCTTTGATCCACCCTGATTCATCCTTTTTGCCCTGATTTATTTTAGTTTGTGGAAGGGTAAGAAGAGGTCTCTCGAGCCACATATGAAGAAAGGGGGTAGGTGGTGGTGGTGCCGACTGCGAGGAAGTGGTGGTGACAAATTTTTTATTTTTTATTTTATTTATTATTATTATTATTATTTTTGTGTTGTTGGCTACTGCTTGCCCTGGTTCTTGCCTTGAGTCAGATTTGATTACCGTGAAAATATATTGGTGTTTGAAAATTGCTGCAACTTGGTATTGTGTTGCCATCTTTGATGAGTTTCTATGTGGGTTGGTTTGACAGTGAAAGCATGATGGGTTGGTGGTGGTGTTAACCCTAACCTAATTATAAAATTAAAATTAAAATTAAAACTATTTAATGATTTTTTTATATATAAATAAATACTTTTTTAATAATCTTCTAATTAGATCATTTTTAATTAAATATAATTAATAATACTTTAAATTTATTTCAATTACATTTTAGTCATTATAATTTTTTAATTACATTTATTATTTCAATATTTTCCATTTACATATAAGGGGCTGGGACCATTAAATTTATTTTAATTACATTTTAGTCATTATAATTATTTAATTAAATGTATTTTAATTACATTTATTATTTAAATATAGTTCAATTAGTTCCATTTACATATAAGGGGTTGTTTAGTCCCATTGATGCAATTTTTTTTTGTAATTTAATAGAATTATAAGGGTAATATAGTCTTTTCAAATTAGTTGAAGATCATTTTAGTCCTTCAAATCAATTTTCTGACAAAAAGGTACTAAAAGGGAGGTATGGAGGAAAAAATTTCCCTCTAATAAGAGTAGTCCATGTCATCATGAATATAATTTTATCTTTGATAGCTCAAGTTGGGTTGGTCATTAACCCAAAACTACTGTTATCTAACTACCAGCTTTACTAATGCGGCCCAAATCCATTTAAAAAAGCAGCCGGTCCTGCAAGGAAAAGGATTCACGAAAGGAAGCAAGTTCTATGTAAGGAAAATCTGGTAAGGGAAGAATTATAAAGAGGAAAGAATTCTATTTGTAAAGAAATTTGTATATGGAAAGAATTAGAGGACAAGAAACGCGAGTCCTACCATAATTTTTCTAACTTTTGTATATAAATAGAGGCCTAGACCTCTAATAAAGGGATTAAGCAATTCTACACTTCTCTACATACTGTCCTTGTTTATTTTTATTATTTATTGGGTGAGTTGTGTTATTTCTCCTAATCATTATTGATTGGGCGAAATTTTGCACCTATAGGAGGTCTTTGCAAAATTGGGGCAAACCTCATAGGACGTTTTGCAAAAAAATTATAAACTTCAGATTTGTTTCTAATTAAGTCAAATTTTGAAGGACATCCTAATTTACCCAAATAAAAATCATCTTGAAGAAAACCTAAAATTTTCTTAAATTTCTATCAAGATGGTTTTGTGTAGAACTATGATAGTCCAAGAGGGTTTCCTGCAACTTGCTCTATCTTAAATTCCTATAGGGTACATTTTTATTATTATAATATTACTATCTCACGTTGTTCTCAAAGTTGTAACAATTGAATATTCTTTTTAGGTTAAATTATTAGTGTTTGTGCCAATATCAGATGGTCAATGTTTTTTTTTTTGGCTGCAATTTGCTCTTTATTATTTTATAATTCTTTAAAGTAATCATCTCATATAAAAAAATTCAAACAGTATCTCTTTAAGAATATAAAATAAATATGGCTACTCATTATCAAATTGTATTTTTATTATTCCACAAAGTGTATAATGGTCTCTAGAATGTGTACAAATATTGAAATGTTTTACCTATACAATAACATATAATTGTACAAATGATTTAGAGGCGGTTTTGTTTTAACCAAATTTTAAATTTTGTCACATTTGCACTTTCGTTCATACAATCACTCTCGCATTTGTTTAGTTTAATCTCGTTTTAAGACAATTAAGTTAAAGAGTAATACTATCAAAAGAACTCACTTGTAAGAAGAGTTGCGTTTGTTTTTTTAGAATTTTTTAAATTTTTGGCAGAGCCATGACCCCCTCTGGTCTGTCCCCCCACTTTCTTTCTTTTTTTATTTTTTTTATTTTTTATTTTTATCTTTAGTCCCTGTTGATCAATAAAAAATTATAGATCAAGTAATTCACTTTGACACTTTAATATAAATATATATATATAAAAAATTAGAATATCAATTAGTTATGATTATAGAAATCACCCAATGAATGAGTCAATAATTAAAAAACCTCTAGTGGGATGTTCCCAAAATGTGATTTTCACGCTGTTTTTGTTTTTGCTTCGCTATATCTGCTCCAGTTTGGTTTGTTTCTGGCTAGACTGGATAAATTTGATGTTTTTTCTCCGGCTAAATCTCTGATTTATGTTTGTTTTTGTTATCCCCAACTTGTTTTGATCTTATGTGAGGTTTGGGTGATTTTTCTCCTATTGAAGACGCTTTGTGGATGTAACTTTGAAGTTATTACCTTAATGATGGGTAGACCGGGTCACTCCCGCCTTTTGGTGGTTTCTGTTATTGAGTTGTGGCTCTTGTCTTGTTCTCAACAAATTTGGAAGTCGTTCTTCATTTTTTTTGTTTTGCTTTATGATTTGTATGTCTTT